CATGGGCTTGGATCTATGTAGTAGCCTATGGGCCCTCATGTTGGGCCTTTAGAGCACTAATAGCGATTGTAAAGATGCGTCAAGAGCAACCCTCTCCTTTCTCCTCGCATCGCATTCCATAGTAGTTGATGCCTCTCTGTAGGAACTTTTTTTCGCCTATTATCCCAGCTTTTGGATCGTCAGCTCACTCCAATTTCATGATTCAAGTATGCTTGTTTGTTGTATCCGTAGGCCTACTGAAGTAACTTTGAGAGAAGATTTTCCTACTTTTTGTAAGCATCTATTTTCACATTGACGGAACAAATCTTACATCACGACCAGGAAATAAACAAAGAAGAAGAAAGCCCACATAACGTACTGCTCTTATTTCATTTCATTACATTACTCAGGTAAAACCAAATTAAAGCCCAAGCCCGGCCTTTAATTCTCCTGTACAACACATGCTCTCTTGCTCGGACGTTGGAGACCGTTACAAACGAACTCCTAACATGTCTCCATAGCAACCGAGCCCTCCTCCACCTGAAAATATCAGCATCAAACAAAATAGTTAGTTAAGAGACGATGAACGGTTCGAATGGATTGTTACCTGAAAATATCATGTACGTGAGTTGAATCTTATTCATGTAGTTATTTCCTGGAAAATAAATTGTTACCTGAAAAGTGGCACCACACAATTCCTCATCATTTGCTAGTTTCGCGGTCACCTTGTTCTTGGGCTTCTCATAGCTCTTCAGCCCCCCAAGCTTGTTTGAATAGAAACAGCCTACAACGTTATGGCGTAGTTAGAACGAAAATGTTGGTGCGTATTAATTTCGTACCATTCGTTGTTCTTCGATTTCAGTTGTAGGTTTAACCTCGAGGAAATGGTGCGAGCGACTTGCCACATGATCCCTTGAGCAAATCCACGTCGTTACAGAAGGCGGTGCATCCATCCGAAGTTATCCCCCAATATAACGGAACCTTGCCCTCAGGATCCTGTCAATTACGATTCGAGCATATAGTAAACAAAACATATTCATACTAGACCAAAACATGTTCATCCTGAACAAATTACATTCAATCATCAGCTTTCAGTATGCTAATCATGCACATGTTTACGTGGAAGTACCACGTAATCTTGCAAATCTTAAAAGAGGGGTTTCTGGAAATTTATATATCTTTCGTATTATTCTTGACATGTACACGTATACTTACTGACGATACGAGCAAGGTTGAAGTGGCTTTGTCGAAGATGACGAAGGAGAAGTTCCCGTTAAGGTGACCGAGCATGAAGTTGGTCGGATGTGGAGCTCGGTCCCTGAGAGTCTTATAGGCTTCTATCAGCAGCATGGCCTCATTTGCTCCTTTTGATAGGCCATAGTGATGCCTTAGGCTGCCAAGGTTATCAAGAACTCCTTCGAATATGCAGAATATGTCATCCTTGGCTGCAAATAACCTGCGCATATCCAATGTAGTCGATAGATAAAGTATTGAGAAGTTCACGAATTGTTCGATAAAAGAACCATTGAAGAACTTAATTAAGCTTCAGGTGAAATAATAAGGATTCTCTGTTCCATCCTTTTTCTCAAAATAAATAAATCACTCGGGTGTTTATATGCGATAGTACAGAGGGTCTACCCGTCATTAACTCTAAAAAAAAAGATGCTTGTCGTATAGAAAAATATCGGTTGGTGATAAAAGCGTGAGGACAAAAAAAAAAAAAGGAATGGATTGACGTGCGCACATGAGCAACAATTATGCGTGCTGATCACATTAGAAAAGGACTAAGGGGCTGTTTGGTTGGTTTCCTAAAAACCAAAAAAAAAGGAAATTGAGTCATGGAAATAAAAAAAGTGCAATTTTCACCATTTCCATCCCTAAAACTAACCCACAACATCCAATAAAATATTATTTTCATCATACAACTCATCTACATCATCCAATAAAATATTATTTTTATCCAACAACTCATCTCATATCATCCAATAAAACAAACCAAACAACTTTTATGGGTCACATCATCCAACTCATCTCATCTCATCTTTAAAAATAACTCACATCATCCAATAATATTGTGACAACTCATCTCATCTCATCTCCATTTCATCTCCACCCATTTCCTCAAAAAAAAAACAAGGAAATTGATTTCCTTAAGTGTGGGTCACATCATCCAATAATATAATGACAACTCATCTCATCTCATCTCATCTCCTATTTTTAAGATTGAACCAAACACAAGAATAGGACCTATTATAAGAAATAGGTTTCTTATTCTTTGATTTCCTTCTTTTTTATCCAATCAAACAACCATCCAACAACTTTTCTTAAAAAATCACTCACATTATCCAATAATATTGTGACAACTCATCTCATATCATCTCACATTATTTGATTTCCTTCTTTTTTTAGCCAACCAAACAACCATAAAACAATTATTTAAGAAAATATGTTTCCTATTCCTTAATTTCCTTTTTTTTTTTTTTGCAAACAAACAGCCCCTAAGCAAACATGGAAAATATTTCAATTATTGAATCTATAGCTGACTAGTTTTAAATAGAAGAGGCAAGAAACGGATGTGAAGCCTCTTTTATGCGAAATGTCATGGTCAGGGTACCTCAAAAGATATGCGGATTCTTCAATTTTCTGCCCATAATTAAATATTATTGCTTATTACTGACCAATTTCTTGCAAGCCATTTATTTCCTCTTTGCAATTTCGATGTTTCCAACTGAGAAATCAGGACCCAAGTTTGAAATATTCCGATTTTTTTCTCCCTAGCGCATAAAAAGTAAAAGAACTAAATTGGTAAAAAGGCCTCCATCAGTTCAGAACTCAGATCAACTTTAAAAAATAAAAAATAAAAAAGTCCTACATAAAGAATGACATAATATCCTTGTGATAATTAATTACCTTCTAAATAAATAGCTTTCATCTCCTACAAATAGAGTTGAGAAAGTTGATGTATATACCAATATTTAATAATAAAGATGTTGGATTAGAGCATCTCCAACAGCTTTCCTATTTTTTACTTTTGGAGAATATAGTTAGGTTTTAGGTCCAACAGATTCTCCATCTCATTCCCTAAAATAGGGATGGAGGAGAAAAAATGAGAAAGCTTCCCCAAATCTGCAGCATTCTCTAAATTTTGGGAGGAAAAAATGGATTCTTCAAAATGAAGAAGTTGTTGGAGTTGGTGTAAAAATAATTTGGAGAATATGACTTTTGTTTCCCTATTTTAAAGAAAATTTTAGAGAAGATATTGAAGATGCCCTTAGTTTTGATTCGCGATATCTGTTTTAAGATCGATCAGTCTCATTTTTCCAAAAGGTCCAATCAGCCCCCAATCTTAAATACATAAATTATACACACTTACTTAGTAACTTAAAACATTTGGGATTAATTTGGTTATCAACCTCCCTCTACAAAAATTTACGAAACAAACCTCGGCCTGAAGGGAGACTGGTGAGCATGAGAATATGCTAAATGGGCGAAGGAGCCAATCTGCAGAGAAACTGCAGGCTCTGAGCTCCGAAGGAATCGAGTCACGAGCTCCGATCCCCGAGTTTTCGGCGACGGGGTTCTGCTGCCGGCGGCCACCAGCTCCGGTGGTGGATCCACCATCTCTCCACTGAACACGGCCAACATCTTCGGCTCTGAACCTCTCTTTCAACTGGAGCAATAATAATTAAGCACGGAAGAGCAAAGGGAGGAGTTTGTTTTCTTATATAGAGAAGTTCGTCATGGGCAGTTTGGTCTTTTCACATCATAATTCCTTGTCCTATACAACAATAGACCTTTCGTAAATGAGTTAATTGCACGTAGAACCCTTGAGGCATGTTGTTTTTTTACTTACTATCCCTGTAGCTTCATTGTTGCGGATTGACTCCATGGTTGTATTCATTTGGACAAATTTTGAAAACCATCCTATTTCAGAAAATAATTGTAAAAACCGACCCATTCAAAAAATATTTATAAAAATAATTATAAAAATCGACCCATTCACAAGCACCGACCCAGTTTCAGCTGTCGGGCTAAAACTAGGTCGGTTTTAAAGAAAAATCTTCTTAAACTTCACGGGACTTCGAGTCCCGTGAAGTTTTTGTACATAACAAAACTTCACGGGACTCGAAGTCCCGTGAAGTTTCAGAACATAGTTTGTCAAAACCAACCCAGTTTCAGCTAGACGACTGAAAGTAGGTCGGTTTTGACAATTTTTTTTAGAATAGGTCGAAATTTGTGATTTTTTTGTAAATAGGATAGTTTTTAAAATTTGTCCTATTCCTTTTTGACTCTTTTACCTCTCGAATAGACTTTTAATTTTACTTTGGGCAACTGCCAAAATTTCACTTAGGATAAAAGGGTACTTAAAAAAAAAGAAATAATCCAGGAGGTCCATCTGCAACAATGAAACTACGGAGATAGTGTAAATTCAAAACAACGACACTGCAGAAGGTCGTTGTTGCGATTAAACCATTGATAAATTATGATACTTCATTCACACTTCTAATGTCGTGATTAACGCATATACACTATTTTTCACTTATCATGCATCTATTCCTTTATACAAATGGAAGAATTCAAGATTTACTATTTTATGCTACAGTAAATGTTACAGTAATACTTAGTATTATGATTGCTGTAGCATCCATGAATTTGGGGGTACTGTAGCATTTTAAAAAATGCTAATTTTAAAAAAATCACTGTAGCAGAGCGTGATATTACAACAATTCAAAAACATTGCAATAGAGCGGATACTGTAGCAAATCAAAAAAGTCAAAAAAAATATTGTAGCATAAAAAACATGGATTACTGTAGCGGGAAAAAAAGATATGTCCTCCTTTGCACGGTGTTCACACTAGTTTCCTATCAATGCCAAGAGCTCTTGATATTTAAACAAAATTCTCTCTCTTTTATGTGTACTTGTCACATGGATATCACATGAGGTACTGTTGTAGCCTTATCTCTAGTGTATTACAGAAAGATCACCTATTTTTTTGAGAAAGAATCCAATGCATTCATCCATTTCATTGATCAAAGGTTGTCATTCCTCTAGTTCATCACTACGAAATGGATTAGTTCTATTATTTTCTCCTTTTTTATTTAGTACAGATATAAATAACAAAGAGATAATCGAGTTTGGACATCAAGCTGTTAGTATTTGTTTGTAAAAACAAAATAGTTCCACATTGGATTTTTGAGCATTTTTTAGAGGTCTAAAAACATTTTAATGATATTGGGCTTTGATAAATGGGTCAAAGCATAGACTTCTAAACCCGCGTGCGGGTAGCGCGGATAATGCGCGATCTTGACACGATTATTAGACGCACTTAGCACTTGGTACGCTTGCTGCTGCTCAATTATTCCAACTTTTTACTATATATATTTTTATTTTACCAACACAAGCTAGCGGTCCACTGAAAAATAATTTAGAGTATACAACAGAAAGAATTTTGAACACTTTCAAGCTAATGTAAATTTTCTTCTCAGTATACAACAGAAAATTAAAAATTCCAGCAAGCAAATATGAAACTTTCCACCAATTCTCTGTGAAACAAATTTGTAGGATTGTAGATTTTTTGAGAGAAAAGTCTTGAGAAAGAAGTAAGTTCTGATGTCTGAAATGGTAGACTATTTATAGGTTTGAAAAAGTATCTCCAACAGTCATAAATTTTAAAAAACACTCATTGGAAAAAATAATCACTTTCGAACAGTTAATAAACAACCATTTTTCAATAGTTTACTGTCACTTGTCTGTTGATATTTGCATAAATTAGAAAAATTAAAATAACAATAATAGTAATAAATAAAAAATAATTTAGAGGTCTTGCTGGAATTTTTTCCCTGAAAACAGCCATTTTTCTTGAAAACTATTTCTTCAAGAAAATTATTTTTTCCAAGAAAATTTTCATATTTGCTTGCTAAAATTTTTAATTTTCTTTCTGTTGCTCAATTTTTCCAACTTTTTATTAGCTTGAAAGTGCTCAATAATTCTGTCTCCTTTTTATTTTAACAACACAAGCTAGCGGTCCACTGTAAAATAATTTAGAGGTCAATAAGTGACAACCCCGGTAACGCAAACAGTGAATCTGTAACATTTAACCCTTAATTTGTTGGAGTTGGAGTTGTACAGGGCAAGTATTTCATCTAAGCTTTGGAAATTTAATTTTTTTTGGCTTGAAGATAGTGTAAAGTTTTTACTTCTTATGTCCAGGAGAGTGTAGTTTACTGTACTCTACCTGAAAATAAAATCTTAGCTCCATTCTGGGTCACAATGTTGTCATTAAAAAAAAAAAATCGTAAGAACAGGTGGATCCACTCAATGTTTGTGGTTTATTGCTAAGGTTAGAAATGAAACATTAGATGTTTTAGAAAAGTATGACAAAGAATATAAACTTTATTAATTGAATAACCATTTTTAACTTTTTTTTATTTTTTATTTTTTTAAAATCTCTTTAAATTTTAAAATATATGTAATTTTACAGAAAATGCTAACAAAAAAAAATATTATTAATAACTTGAAATGACATAAATTACAAATACCAAAAATTATAAAAATAAAAGATGATAAAAATAACTTTTTTATTAATAATCAGTAAATCTTTTACAAGTATAAATTTATTTCAGAATTCGCCGCATCACAATAGATGAGTACATTCAAACTAGGTTGGCACCTACTCACATATATCACTATCATTTGCAACTGTTTCTAAAATAATTTATTATAAATTAAAGTTAAGAAATAAAAATTACAATTTGATGAATATTGTTTAATTTTTATATCTATCTGCTAGTCTCAACTCTTTAAATTTATCTTCAATTCCATCCATCCGATCGATGCATTGTGTTCGCTTCTTGTACCTCCACCAATCTTATAAGCACATCACCGCTTGTACAGTATACGAATCTAAGCATGTCCTGTGGTCGTCGATCAAACGCCCTCTGTGCTGAAGGTGGATTCCGAAGCTACCGTCGAAACCTGCACTGTTAGTAAGTCACGAACCATGGTGGAAAGTATAGGATATGAAACTGATATATATACTCTCCACCATTACAAAATATCTAAAGTATTTCCTTGATATTTAACTAAAAAAGCAGATAAATATTCATCTATTATAAAAAACTCTAATGATGATCCAAGTCCAGATCCACCAGTTAGCTTAGCTACCATTACATACCTATTAAAACTAACACTTACCTCGGCCTAAGCTCGAAGGCGCCGAAGCTGTATACTGTTGTGCAGCTACACCATGTCTAGCTGCATACTCATCATATAAGGTTTGAAAATAATTTCTAATAGCTAAATGATGAGAAGTAACAATAAGGGTGGATCCATCATCTAAGTCTATAATCTGTCTACCATACAATGATTGTAACAAACTTCGAAGGCTAATATCCTTCAAACATGGATCAATAAGAACCCCAAACCAAAAATATAAGGAATAGGCCTAAAATACTTATTAAATTTGCTATTCATTTAAAAAATTATAGCTCCAAAAGTATCATTCATATGATATTTATTAAATTTTTTTGAATATTTAAAATTTGTAAAGTAGCTAAAGTAATAGTTCCAACAGCCAGATAATAACATTATAGCATCATAAAAAACTTGTAACATCTCGTTTAAATTACATATAATTATCCATTCAATTTTAGTTATTACATAAGTGCTACCAGAGTTAGAACTAGAAGCATAATAATTTATAAAATCATTTATAATTTCTTTATATTCTACTGCCACACTTAACATTGCTTAAGTGAAATTCCACCTATGGTCAACATCTTTTGAAATTAGTTTGGGTTTATATTTTTTTTTGCAAAATTATTTCCATCTTTTAATTCTTTGTTTAGAAGCATTATGCATATTAGCAACTGTTATAACATTTTCTATTATAGGTTTAATTTTAGTAAATGCACTTTGAATAATTAAATTTAAAATATGACAAATACATCTAATATGAAAAAGATCACCATGACATGACAATGACAGAGTTGTTTTGATAAAATCAACAGTTATATTGTTATTACTTGTATTATCTAGTGAAAGAAAAAATATTCTTTGATCAATTTTTAGTTTCATAAGTTCTTCAATTATTAAATTTGCAATATTAATAACAGTATGTGACTCTTCAATTATAATAAAGAAAACAACTCTTTTAAACATTTGCCAATTTTTATCAATCCAGTGTGCTGTGATACATAAATAACCAGTTTATTCTCTAGATGTCTAAATATCAGAAGTTAAAAAAATTTACAGTTTAAATTTTTAAAATAAGAAATTATTGTTTCTTGTTTCTCCTGATAATGTTTTAAAATATCACGTTGACAGGTTTGACGAGAAAATTTTATAAATACGGGATAAAAACTATGACAGGTTTGACAAGAAAATTTTATAAATGCGGGATAAAAACTATCTCTAAACATATCTTCAAATTTATCATCTTCAACTAATTTAAAAAGAATATTTTTAAGAAAGATAAACCTGATTACGTATTTTTTGACTCGGGCAGCGTCATAATTCTAACTACCGAGACTACCGGAAGAGGAGGATTGAGAAATCATAGATTGTCGGATATCACCTTGAGGATTCTAGCCTTTGTTGTGTTTTTTTATATGGCGTTTGAGGTGGTTGGTGCCGCTTTTATGATAAGTTTGGAAAGTCTGGCCGCACAATGCACATTTAGCCTTCTGGGTGAGGA